ATTTTTGTCTTTTTAACTTAGAAATGCAATTATTTCTTGAAATTTTGTCAGAAATAATGTAAAAAATCACTAAATTTCATTAAAAATAACATAATTTTTAACTTGTTTTAGAGTTTTAGGAAGTTTTTCAGCTAAAAACGCCATTATTTTAAGCTTTTTTTGAAAAATTATTAAATTTGGTCAAAATTAGTGTTATTTTGGCTTTTTTGAGAGTTTAAGCACAAAAACTCGCTAGATTTCGCTAAACCGGACTTAGTTGTTATTATTTTTGTTTTTTTCTAGCGATTTGGGACGTTTTTCAGCTAAAAACACAATAATTTTGCAAAATTTTGTCAAAAATATAGCAAAAATGGTTATTTTGCACAAGAAAACAAAAAATTTTCTACTTTAAAAGATATAATTTTTTACAAGATGAATATTATTAACAAAAAATAACAATAAACAATTTGCAATTTGCACTCAAGGGGCAAAAAATAGAATTTTAACAATCAGATGTTAATAGGATTATGTCATCAATATTGAGTAATGTCATTTTTCCAGGGCGGTAGCGGCGTATTTGCGGGCCCTAAACCTCTCCCCCAACAACTTTAGGACGTTTTTTTTAGCCAAAAACGCCATTGTTTCAAAGAATTACAATAAAATAAGTTGAACAATTATTAAATTTGGTCAAAATTGGTGTTATTTTTTCCTGTTTTTGAAAGTGGTTTTAATTGTCATTATTTTTGCTTTTTTAGCGATTTGGCAAGTTATTCAGCTAAAAGAACAATTGGTTTACAAAATTTTGACAAAAATATGCCGAAGAATTTATTTTGGGACAAAAATTGCGTTATTTCGCACAAGAAAACAAATTTTCTACTTTATAATATATACAATTTTTCACATAGCATAATTGATTACAAAATGAAATAAATACATACTTGAATATTATTTACCAAAAATAACAATAAATTAATTCAAAAATGACATTTTACGTGTTTTATTACGTTGTTTATCCAAAAAGGTCAATATTTCAAAAAAAAATAATATAAAAATAATTTAAAAAATCACTAAATTAGATTGAAAATGATGTTATTTTTGCTTTTTTTTAATTATTTTCCAAAATTTTGTGAAAAATAACTCGAAATAGAATCAAATTGAAATGAAATAGCGATTTGGGACGTTTTTCAGCTAAAAACACAATAATTTTGTCAAAAATATAGCAAAAAATGTTATTTTGCACAAGAAAACAAAAAATTTTCTACTTTAAAAGATATAATTTTTTACAAGATGAATATTATTTACCAAAAATAACAATAAATAAATAACAGTAAATAAAAAAGTTTCGCAATTTGCACTCAAGGGGCAAAAAATAGAATTTTAACAATCAGTTGTTAATAGGATTATTGATTGAGTAATGTCATTTTTCCAGGGCGGTAGCGGCGTATTTGCGGGCCCTAAACCTCTCCCCCAACAATGCCGTCGTCCATGGTAACCTGGCATGTGTCTACTACGAACAAGGCCTCATCGATTTGGCAATCGACACCTATCGAAGGGCCATCGAATTGCAGCCCAATTTCCCCGACGCCTACTGCAATTTGGCGAACGCCCTTAAGGAAAAGGGTCAAGTATCGGAAGCCGAAGAGTGTTACAACACAGCGTTACGTTTGTGTCCTTCACATGCCGACTCACTTAATAATTTAGCTAATATCAAACGTGAACAGGGTTATATTGAAGAGGCGACTCGACTATATCTGAAAGCACTTGAAGTCTTTCCTGAATTTGCAGCCGCTCATAGTAACCTCGCTTCGGTGTTACAACAACAGGGTAAACTAAACGAAGCTCTAATGCATTACAAAGAAGCGATTCGGATTCAACCGACTTTTGCCGATGCTTATTCTAATATGGGGAATACCCTGAAGGAGATGCAGGATGTGTCAGGGGCGTTACAGTGTTACACTCGTGCTATCCAGATTAATCCAGCCTTTGCTGATGCTCATAGTAATCTGGCGAGTATTCATAAAGATTCCGGAAACATTCCAGAAGCGATTCAGTCGTACAGAACGGCCTTGAAATTAAAACCGGATTTTCCGGACGCCTATTGTAATCTCGCACACTGTCTTCAGATCGTTTGTGATTGGACGGATTATGATGCAAGAATGAAGAAACTGGTCAGTATTGTGGCCGACCAATTGGAGAAAAACCGACTTCCGTCGGTTCACCCCCACCACTCGATGCTATATCCCTTATCGCATGAATTCCGTAAAGCTATAGCAGCACGTCATGCGAATTTATGTCTGGAAAAGATCCACGTTTTGCATAAACATCCGTACAAGTTTACAACAGAGTTAAAAGGGCGTTTAAGGGTCGGTTATGTGAGTAGCGATTTTGGGAATCACCCAACTTCGCATTTAATGCAATCCGTTCCGGGTTTACACGACCGAAACCGAGTCGAGATTTTTTGCTACGCGTTGAGTCAGGACGATGGGACGACTTTTAGGAGTAAAATCTCACGAGAAGCTGAACATTTTATTGATTTATCACAGATTCCGTGTAATGGTAAAGCCGCAGATAGGATTCATGCTGATGGTATTCATATTTTGGTCAATATGAATGGGTATACTAAAGGGGCCCGGAATGAGATTTTTGCATTGAAACCGGCTCCAGTTCAAGTCATGTGGTTGGGGTATCCTGGTACTAGTGGTGCTAGTTTTATGGACTATTTAGTCACCGATGCTGTGACGTCGCCGATTGAATTGGCCAATCAATATAGCGAAAAACTTGCATATATGCCTTACACTTACTTTGTTGGGGATCATAGACAGATGTTCCCCCATCTCAAGGAGAGACTCATTGTGAGTGATAAGAGTACAAATTCGAATTTGGCAGACAATGTGGCGATTATAAATGCTACGGATTTGTCGCCATTGGTCGAAAGCACGGAAGTGAAGGAAATCAAGGAAGTGGTCAAGGTAACATTCTTTATAAAAATAACTTTAGATATTGTAATTTATAACAAGCGCTGTTGAATGTTTTTTTTTTTTAGTATAGTCTTGAAGCACGAATTCAAGTTTAAAAAATGAGTGGCGTAGCCACGAATGAGTGCTTTAAGGTCTTAACCAGTTTTTTTACTATTTTTTTGTAATTTGCTCTGTTTAGGGATTGTTGTGACCTTTGGTAGTCTTCATTTTAAAAATAAAATTTGATCAACTTGTCTTTTGAACATTAAGACAAAATGGAGGAAAATTACAAAATAATTTATTACATATTATAGGATATTTTGGGCTACATTCAACTTGCTAATTTTAAATAGTGACTCAATTTTTTTTTCTTAGTTTTCTTTTTTTTTTCTATGGAACTTTTTTTACATGTAAATTTTTCTGTGCCGCTCTACTCTTTTTGAACCAGATAGTTCTGTCAACAGTGACAGCTGTCAATCGAAATAAATTAACGTTTGAGGTTAATTAGATTCAATACTTTTTAATGCGACATTTTTTTCACGTGGTAATTTATAGGCGACTAGATGAAAATCATTAATTGTTTAAGTTGAAAAAAAATTAATAAAAGTTAATAAAATGTAGTTGCATGGTGTCAATAAAAACGTTGACATGAACAATATTCTTATTAAACGTAAACAAGGTAAATAAATCAGTAAGTAATAATAAAATAAATTAATAACACTAAATTATTTATGGTCCGATTTTAAAAATTAAAATACAGGGTGCGCCAGAACTCGCGCCCCAGAGAAAATTTCCAAGTAAGGTAAGATACCAGGAACATGAAAAAAATGTTTAAAAAATTCTCTGTCAAAAAATTTTGACATTTATTTTTTGACATTTGACATTTTTTTATGTCTATTTAATGATTCTGATGATCTTGTATATGTTTTTTTACAATTATTTAGTAAAGGCACAAAAATTTTGCCAATAAAAGCCACAAATAACATTAAACAGAGTTACAATTTAGGATACAACTTCTTTGTTTCCTCTTTTAATAGCCTATAGCAAAAAAACTTGTAAAATTATTTTTCTAACAGAAATAAATAAAGTCAAAAAGCAAACTTTAAACCCTCATAACTTCGAAATTTTTATAGATAAATTTTTTTTAACATTTTTTCCATGTTGCTGGTATCTTACCTTATATGACATTTTTCTCTGGGGCGCGAGTTCTGGCGCACCCTGTATTATAATAAAAAACAAGTTTCATAAGTAATCTTGAAGCACGAATTCAAGTTTAAAAAACGAGTGGCGTAGCCACGAATGTATGCTTTAAGGTCTTATAAAACCAGTTTTTTTATACTATTTTTTTGTAATTTGCTGTATTTAGGGATTGTTGTGACCTTTGATAGTCTTATTTTTAAAAATAAAATTTGATCTAGTCTTTTGAATATTAAGACAAAATGGAGGCAAATTACAAAGTAATTTATTACATATTATAGTATATTTCGGGCTATATTCAACTTCCTAATTTTAAATAGTGACTCTTTTTTTTCATAATTCGGAAGATATTAGTTTTCTTGGTACCAACATGTGCAATTTATTCTACAGGGTGCGCCAGAACTCGCGCCCCAGAGAAAAATGCCATATAAGATAAGATACCAGGAACAATGAAAAAATGTTAAAAAAATTTTTTCTATAAAAATTTCGAAGTTATGAGAGCTTAAAGTTTACACTTTGACTTTATTTATTTCTGTTGGAAAAATAGTTTTTCAAGTTCTTTTGCTATAGGCTATTAAAAGAGAAAACAAGGAAGCTGTATCCTAAATTGTAACTCTGTTCAATGTTATTTGTGGCTTTTATTGGCAAAATTTTTGTCTCTTTACTAAATAATTGTAAAAAAACATACAAGATCATTAGTATCATTAAATAGATATAAAAAAATGTCAAATGTCAAAAAGTATATGTCAAAATTTTTTGACAGATAGAATTTTTTAAACATTTTTTTCATGTTCCTGGTATCTTATCTTACTTGAAAATTTTCTCTGGGGCGCGAGTTCTGGCGCACCCTGTATAGTGTGTTTCAAAATGATTTCCATCTAGTCGTTTATGAAACTTTTTTACATGTAAATTTTTCTGCCCCGCTCTACTCTTTTTGAACCAGATAGTTCTGTCAACAGTGACAGCTGTCAATCGCAAGAAATTAACGTTTGAGGTTAATTAGATTCAATATTTTTTAATGCAACTTTTTTTCACATGGTAATTTATAGGCGACTAGATGAAAATCATTTCAATATCAAAGTTGAAAAAAATTAATAAAAGTTAATAAAATCTAGTTGCATGGTGTCAATAAAAACGTTGACGTTAATGATATTCTTATTAAATAAGTAATAGTAAAATTAATTAATAACACTAAATTATTTATAAAAGTTTAAATACTATAATAAAAAAACTAGTTTCATAAGTCTAGTCTTGAAGCACGAATTTAAGTTTAAAAAACGAGTGACGTAGCCACGAATGAGTGCTTTATGGTCTCATGAAACGAGTTTTTGTATATTATTTTTTGAAATTTGCTGTTTATGCCGTTTTAAAACCAAAAAAAAAAAAACTTTAATCGGTTTAGGGATTGTGATCTTTGGTGAAGTCTTAATTTTAAAAATAAAATTTGATCTAGTTGTCTTTTGAATATTAAGACATAATATGTCTTAGATAATCAAAATGGAGGTAAATTACAAAATAATTTATTACCTATTTATTCAACTTTCTAATTTTAAATAGTGACTCATTTTTTTTTTCATAATTCAGAAGATATTAGTTTTCTTGGTACCAACATGTGCAATTTGTTCTACAGTGTGTTTCAAAATGATTTTCATCTAGTCGTCTTTGGAATTTTTTTTACATGTAAATTGCGACTTTTTTTTTAATTTATAATTATATGTAATAATTTATAGGCGGCTAGATGAAAATAATTTATTATTTATTTGAAAAAATTATCAAAGTTGAAAAAAATTAATAAAAGTTAATAAAATCTAGTTGCATGGTGTCAATAAAAACGTTGACATGAACAATATTCTTATTAAAAGCAAACAAGATAAATAATGCAGTAAGTAATAGTAAAATAAATTAATAACACTAAATTATTTATGGCCTGATTTTAAAAATTAAAATACTATAATAAAAAACAAGTTTCATAAGACTAGTCTTGAAGCACGAATTTAAGTTTAAAAAACGAGTGGCGTAGCTACGAGTTATTTTAAAGAATGAGTGCTTCAGGGTTTTATAAAACGAGTTTTTTTTATATTACTTTTGTACTTTGCTTTCTTTATGCCGTTTTTAAACAATTTTTTTTTACTTTAATCGATTTAGGGATTGGTGTGTCTTAATTTTAAAAGTCAAAATTTGATCTAGTCGCCTTTTGTGGCTATTAAGGCATCGCAGATGATATCGCGTTCTTTAATGTCTATTAGAAAATCAAAATGGAGGCCAATTATTAAATGGGTTTTAATATAGCATAAGCTGACAATTTTATTTTTTCCAAAATGTTATAGTGTATTTTGGGTTAAAATTAACTTCCTAATTTTAAATAGAGACTAATTTTTTTTCTTTATAATTCGAAAGATACCGTGAGATCGATCAGTGTGTTTCAAAATGATTTTCATCTAGTCGTCTATAGAATCTTTTTACATGTCAATTTTTCTGTGCCGCTTTACTCTGTTTGAACTACATAGTTCTGTCAACAGTGACAGTTGTCAGTTGAAATAAATTAACGTTTGAGGTTAATTAGATTCAATATTTTTTATAGCGGCATTTTTTATTTTACGTGGTAATTCCATAGGCGACTAGATGATAGGTCATTTTAAAACATGTACTTTTACTTAAAATTTTTGATAAAAAAATTATCAAAATTTAAAACATTAATAAAAGTTAATAAAATCTAGTTGCATGGTGTCAATAAAAACATTAACGTTAACAATATTTTTATTAAAAGCAAACAAAATAAATAATAAAATAAATTAATAACACTAAATTATTTGTTTTTCTGATTTGTATAGGTAATTATTATTGTCATTTCTTATTAAAATTTTGAAAAAATATTGGCAATACTTTTTTTATTTGCTGCTCTTTGACATTACAATAATGACTATTGTTTTATTTGGACACCATGCAACTAGATTTTACTCGAGAAATTGTTTTTTTTTTCCAATTTTGATATTTTTTTTTAACAAAATTTTTTTGTAAACGTAGAACATATTGCATATGTCTGTACCAAGAAAACTAATACCTTCAAAATTATTAAAATTTATTTTACATGGTAATTCCATAGGCGACTAGATGAAAATCATTTTAAAACACTTACTTTTACTAAAAATTTTTGT